TAGTTTGTTCACACATGGGTTTCTGCTATAAATAAAGTTTGGTACGAAATGAAGGCCATTGTAGCAAGGACCGATAGCCTAAGTATCAAGGGGGGGCCTGAAACCTCAAATTAATTCAGATTAATAATATTTTTGACCACACACACATTTTGTCTTGTCTATGGCCACTTTTGGAGTTGGACATTTGGAGGAGATAACTTCTACTTTACAGCTTCAATTCAAATTGGTAATTTAGGAATGCAAAGAAGGAATCCTTATCAAGAAAGTAATCAGTGTGCCTTGGCTTCTCTTTATTTCTTTTCGTATATATGAAGTACCTGTGTTTCCACAAAAATAAGACCGGNCGCCCGAGCTCCTTACTGGTCTTTTAAGTCATCAGCGCTTCCGTGCATGTGCACGGCACGTACAGCGCCTGCACAATGCTCCGCTGAGCAGCTGGAGCATCGCAAATGCGCTAAGACGCACGAGGACACTGCCGGGCCCGTTCCAACTGTACCAGTAGGAACGGGATCCAGTACCCACCACTGGTTGTCTCCCAGGCACCAGATCTGCTGTAACGTCCTGAGACACACATGTTTTTATAAAGTGGACTTTTAAAGTTTCCTCTCTCTTGAGAAGCCACTGCCTTTCTATGCCACTGCAAACACAGGACAGTGCCTGGATCAATGCAAACCAAGTATTTCAAAACTAAATAAAGAACCACAGCGCTTATTCAAGTCACAGCATTTTGTAATTGCCTTCCTGTTGCATTCACCAGATCTTAAGCTTCAGCCTCTTAGTTCAGAGAACTCCAAAGTTTTTTGCACCAGGGTCAGGGGTGGTTTTCACTTACCTTTCCTACCAGTTCGCAAATGTGTATATGTGCGCATGCATTCACGCACCCTATCCAACACATGCACCCAGCCTTCTGCACATGCGCTTTGCTCAAAAAATGTTCCTAAATAGGACAAAATAGAGCGTGGGAAAGTGGTCCCACCTGCAATTTCTTCTACTGGTTCGGGCTAACCGGTCCAAACCGGTAGAACACCACCTCTAACCAGGGCCCAATTTCAGCGAGAACATTTTTTTTTAAAAAAAGGTTTTTTATTAAACACACATTAAAACATTGGACACAGTGAAACCGTCCTGGCAACGTCTTTGCCTTACATACTAGAATATAAAGTTAAATATTATAACCACGATGCTTATTTACAATTGGTCTATTCAGTATTTACAAATATAAGGACATCGTATTTCTTGTCTTACACATTTTCACTGTTATGATTTCGTACATAATTCTAATCCCCATTCTATAAATCTTAGTCATTGCTTATTTTTGGTCTTGCCTTTTTTGGAGAACAATTTTTCCACGGATCAGTGGTGGTGGTGGGGATGAATGGTTTTGCGCACTATCTAGATCTCACACATGTGCAGACAAAACTTGCTTGCTTGCATGACCAGGTTGCTAGTATGCCGCGAAACAGTATCAGGCTGTGGATGAGAGTATCAGGCCACGGCTGGGGCTGGGGACCCCTGTCTTAGTACACTATTTTCCCAGTGTTTGAAAATCTTATACATTAACTTTTATAATTAACTCCCAAACTTATTTTATGTAAAAAAAAAAAAAGGAGAAAACGTAAAAGGAGGAAAGGAAGCAGCAGCAAACACATAGACATATTGTATATATTTATACCATTCAGGCCAATCTTAAATTTGTTACTAACTATTTTGGAATAAATACTGATCAGAATATTTATGGAGAATAGTTCATAAAGAGTATGTGAAGAGATTTGTTTGTGAATTAATTTTGCATTTTTTCAATATGGTAATAACCATATTGGTATGCAATTCGAGGGAGCTTAATTTCTAAACCATACTAGATTTTGGAAAGGCCAAGTTAAAACTTAAGATTGTACGAAGTGTTCTTAATATGTTTTAAGACCTTTGTTTCTTTATGTGGGATCTTCCAATCCCATAGTTCTTGCAAATCTTCAATATCCAACTTGGCAGAACTTTAAACTGCTTATAAAAAAAAAATACCGTAGACTTAAAACTATCCAAAACACATTCCAATAATGTGGGAATTCTACATGCTGCTTATATGCCTGGACCAATTAGTGAAATCAGAACAATGATTAGAGTTAACAAGTTGCTGCTTTGTAGTGTCAGTTGATGCAAGACTAAATATGCTGCAGAGAAGTGAAGAGGGTGTAATTTGACACAAGGGCGGGCAACATCTTTGGGCACAATCACAACCATTTCAAAAGACTGGATGTTGCTCATTCATCACAGGACTGCCAGCATAACATAACCCCAAAATGTTTATATGAATGCAAATGGATATGTTTTTTCCTCTATCTCATCTAATATGCTCTCTGTGATTCTTTTTTTTTTAATTTTTATTTTAAACACATAAACACATCAACAAAAACAAACACATGACTTAAAAACAACATAGCAACAAGAAGTTCCATCATATATCTTACAGCAGTTCTGTATTGGTTTCTTTACAATTAGTGTTTTCCCTNTATATATATATCCAGTTGCCCTCATGTGCGCTCTGGTATCTTTTTGCTGTATATGGTAACTTGACAGATGCCCAATTCTTCTGCTCTTTTCTTCCCTTAAACCATGATCCATTAATCAATCTCCAATGCACCGAATTATGTTAGAAAGCAAACTGCTATAGAAAGTAGCTGATTTTTTTTTTTAAAAAAAAACACCATCATGTTGCATATTGATAACATTTCCACAATTACTTAAGCATAATATGAAGATTAACCCTGGAAGGAAACCCAGAGGGAATGCAGCCACAGGAACTCAAAATGTTCTCTGTTTTGGTAATGAACGCCTTACAAAACTAGTTCCAATATTATTGGTGTGTGAGGTCTACTGCAAATGTTGACAGAAGGACTCCTGCCAACCTCAATAGGCAGAGCGTGTGCCATAAATCAAAAGTTTCATGTGAAGCCAATTGTTCGGCTATATTTCAGCCTTTCCTCCCTTTAAATGCCCGCAGTTTCTAGTTTCATGCCTAGGAGTTTAGCTTTAGTAGCATGGCTGATCCCACTTTTCACGTATCTTTGTGAATACATTCACATGTTTAAATGCTTTTGGCCGTACAGATAGTTCTCACCTTAAAACCATTCATTTAGTGTCTGTTCAAAGTTTATTTTATTTATTTAGTTTGTCACTCATGTACAAGATAACAGGAATAAGAATAAACATGAATAAGAACACAGGAAATGGGAATAAATAAATGGGGACAGTAGGACAGGGACATTAGACACGGTGGTGTGCTTATGCATGCCCCAACTTACCAGCACTACTTACCAGTTGTAATGGTACTGGAAAAATGTGACCTATGACTCTTTTCCACAGTTACAACCATTGCAGCATTCCCATGGTCACGTGATCAAAATTCTGATCCTTTGGCAACTGACTCATATTTATGACGGTTTCAGAGTCCTGGGTTGTGATCACTTCTTGCAAGCTTAAGGCAAACAAACTCAATGGGAAAGCCACATTCAATTAACGACCATGTTATTAATTTAACAACTGCAGGGATTCAGTTAACAATTGTGTCAAGACAGGTCACAAAATGGGACAAAAACTCACTTAACTGTCTCACTTAGCAACAGAATTTTGGGGCTCAATTGTGGTCATAAGTCAAGGACTATCTGTATTTAGGAAAGATCCCAAGAGAGCAAGACAAACACTGTAATTATTATAATGTATACTTTGAGGATGCTTTCTTCTTACTTCTTTTGGAATATTTTCAAGCAGATTTACTAAATCAGACCAATGTTTTAATAGTGAAAATATAGAATTTCCAAAGTGACTTAACCTGTATGCAAACTTAGAACTATATCCAAGAAAAACTTGTCCTTTCCCAAAATGTAAACTTATTTTTTCCCCCACAATTGCTTCAGTTCTCACTTTTCATAAATCAGTAATCTTACCAGTTATGTATATGATACACATAATATTTTTTTGCTTTAAGGCTTGTTAACGTTCATATTTGCTGAATTGAAATTTTCATCAGATAAATAATGGATATTAAATGCAATCTGTAAAATATATTCTGGATGCATGAATAGCCAGAACCAATCTTTGAGGTGGAATAGATGAACAAGGGGACGCGGTGGCTCAGTGGCTAAGATGCTGAGCTTGTCGATCAGAAGGTTGGCAGTTCAGCAGTTCGAATCCCTAGTGCGGCGTAACACAATGAGCTCCCATTACTTGTCCCAGCTTCTGCCAATCTAGCAATTCAAAAGCATGTAAAAAATGCAAGTAGAAAAATAAGAACCACCTTTGGTGGGTATGTAACAGCGTTCCATGAGCCTTCGGCGTTTAATAATGCCGGTTACATGACCACAGAGAAGTCTTTGGACAGTGCTGGCTCTTCGGCTTAGAAATGGAGATGAGCACCGTCCTCTAGAGCCAGAAACAACTAGCACACAGGTCTGGGGGAACTTTTACCTAAATAAACAGGAAGTCCCTCAAATGTTATATGCCTGGTTTGGCCTTCCTTATTTTAAAGAAAGTGTAATATGAACACATGGACTGTGAGACCATTATATTCATAATCCAAACTCTAAACTTTGTTTTATACACTGTGAAAACGAATCTTCTGGACTTGAAGAAATGCCACTATATTTATTGTCAAAAACAATCAGAATGTGTTTTCACATGAGCATGTCTTAGCATGTCTTAGTAAGCTCAGAATTCGGGGTCATGTTAATACAAGTAGAAAGACACCAACTTTAAATGAGATCTTAATAAATTGCAGTTAATCTCTGAAACGTAGTTTGCATATGGATGGCATACAAGGTATGGATTAGGGTGTCCTATGAGATTTGCAGCACTGTGTGCCAAATTGAGGACGAACAGTGAAGGGCCAGTCTTTCTGCTTATAATTAAAAGTAATTTTCTTTGTATTTATCTAAAGGAACATTTTCATTGAATCCTTGTGCTTGTTTGGGGATTGTGCTAAACTAATATGTTTTTTCTTCAAACAGTGATTCTTTGGAACCCACACAATTCACTAGTTATACAGCTGCTGCTGTAAGAAGCATGCCTGAAAACCCAGAAAATGGGGCCAGTAGGCCTATTTCAGCTGAGTCTGGAGCTGCATTCAAATCTACAGGACCTCAGTATGCTGAGAAAACCCCAAGCTGGGAGTCTTCTAAGCAACCAGGTAAATCATTGAAGGTTTTGGTTTGGTCCCTGATTTTGAATTCAAATGTTTTATATATTGATGATACCTGATAAAATTTGATACCAAGTCCAGATTTGTGCTTTACTTTGGTTGAAAGTTTAATTTTCAAATGCAATACGAAACTATACAAAACAGAAATGCTTATCAAAATTAATAAAGTGCACTTTCACAACTAGATCCCCTGTAAAGTAGAATTGTTCTGAAGAATGAAGACTACCATTTTAACACAAGAAGCATGGTTTTGCTGATTATGGAATTTATTCATATATTGACTTGACATGTTGGTATTACTGTATTTTTCAGACTATAAGACACACCTTTCCCCCCCTTAAAAGAGCGTGGAAAAATTGGTGCATCTTATACACCGAACGCAGCCATTTTTGGCCTCCTGAAATTCCGCCCCCGCATTCCATTTTTGTGAAAAACAGCCCATTGTTTGTAAAAATGGAGGGTTTTTTGCCTTCCCTCAGCCCTGCTGAAGCCTGCAGAGTGCTGCTGGGGGCTGAGGGAATACCAAAAAAAATTCTTACTTATCTCTCTGAAATCTTGGTGCGTCTTACAAACCGGTGCATCTTATAGTCTGAAAAATACAGTATGTAACATATGACACAAAAAATACACCTTATGTCTCTATACATCCCACTGCACATATACTTCTAGTTAGGACAGAGCAGACATTCAGGGCTGTCCTCATTGCGTAACATCATGACCCAGCAATTGCACGTCCATAAGTACAACTATATGTTGAGTCAATTTATATAGACGTAAGAATGTGGCTCAGTGGTTAAGGGATGCGGTGGCTCAGTGGCTAAGACACTGAACGTGACAATCAGAAAGGTCAGCAATTCGGTGGTTCGAATCCCTAGTGTCACATAATGGAGTGAGCTCCTGTTACTTGTCCCAGCTTCTGCCAACCTAGCGGTTTCGAAAGCACGTAAAAAATGCAAGTAGAAAAATAGGAACCCCCTTTGGCGGGAAGGTAACAGCGTTCCTTGCTCCTTCAGTGTTCAGTCATGCCAGCCATACGACCATGGATACATCTTCAGACAGCTCTGGCTCGTCATCTTTGAAACGGACATGAACACCACCCTCTAGAGTTGGGAAAGACTAGCACATATGTGCTAGGGCAACATTTACCTTTAAGAATGTGAAATCTTAGTTTGTATTGCCTTGAGTTTAATAATGGAAGAAAAGCGAGCTTTCTTCTGCAAGGAAGATGGGTTAGAAACTCAGTAAATAATAATATATAGAACAGAAGAATGAGGAACAAATCCGTTGCCTATGGCATGGATATGATACGTTGGCCTAGACTGCATATTGAATGGCTCTTAAACTTGATGTTTTAAAGAATTGTTTTCCATAGATAGGGGTCTTTCCCCCTAGGGGAAGTTGTTCCAGGGAGAACTGGGTTTTCTGGAGAAAGAAGTTAGGGTAGAAGAATTTCCTTCTCTGTCTATCTTTTCATCTTTTTATATTGTATTTGTTTTAGCTCTGTTGAGCCAAGGAGAGCTGAAGTGTGATCACAACCATAGTCACAGAGCAACCACTTCACTTAACAACTAATTTGACAGTCCCAACTATGATTGCTAAAGAAGAACTAACTATATGCTGTAGAAGTATTAGAAATATTCTTAGAAATATTCAGAATTGAATAGTGGTACATATAGTTTTATCATTGTTATCAAGGGCCTAAATGAACACATTTGCCAGGAGTGTCTTGTCACCAGCTTGGTTGCTCCCCAAAGCTGGTTGCTTCCCATAGCTGGTATAGTCACAGGACTGTCCTGTTCATGTACTAGTAATGTAAACTCAAGTAATCATAATGTGCTTTGCTGCTGCTAACCCTGAATGTGGCATTCTCAGTAGGACATCCTTTTACACATAGCTATTACACTTTTGCCATTAGCTACTAAGCCATTTGCAAGTAAGGAACCAGTCTGGCATATAAGACAACCAGTATTGGGTTTTTAAAAAAATCTTGCTGGATTTTTTAAAAGACGCTAATCATCACATTAGTCTTGCTGCCTTTGCTGTCACTAGTAAGAGCACTATCTAGGAATGACTCCTCTAAGTTTGATTTTTCAGTGGAATGAACATTCTCTCCTTTGGTAGGCTTCTGTTTCAAAATTTTAGACTTACATTAGACTGGAGTCTAGAAGTTGATTAAATAAATAAATAAATAAATAAATAAATAAATAAGGCACCGTTACACTAAAAATCAAGCTTGTAATTATTGTTTTTCTCCCCTTATGATCATCTGTAGGTAGAACATAACAATTATAATTATGCACATAGCAATTTGGCAAGTCTAAAACAAGCATATTAGCAAGTTTTCAGATCTTCCTTTTGTTTTTCCTTAGGCTGCAATAACACAGCAACAAAGCAAACTTATTAAAAGGTTGACTTCATTAACTCAGTGGGAAATTTCCAAGTGAAAACGTATTGGATTGTACTGCTGAAATCTAATAAGGAAAGAAAACTATAGGCTGTTAAGCTAGGCAGGTGGTCCTTGACTTACAACCACAATTTGGACCAGAATTTCCATAGTAAACTGGTGCAGTCATAAAGCAAGTCATCATAAAGCATAACTGGACCTGATTATATGCCAACTTTTATTGCACTTGTTAAGTGAATCACTGCGGTGGTTAAATGATTGCTACTGGAAAAGTTACAAATCGAAATTATGTTTACTTAGGGTCAGAGGTGGGTTCAGACAGTTCAGCCGAACCAGTAGTAATTTGTCTACCTGGAACCGGCAGCGATCCAGGCCTGCCACGCCCCCGAACCAGTTCTGTAGATGGCGCCATCTTATTTTTGCCTTCTGTACATGTGCAGAGCAATTTTTGTTGCACTGCTCATTTGCGCACGAAGTGTGTCCCTGAGCGAACCAGCAGTAGCCGGAACCCACCCCTGCTTAGGGTGCTCTAACCAGTCATAAATGTGAAGTGGTTGAAAAGTGCCCAAATTGTGATCATGTGAGAGAGTAATAAGTGTGATGAGAGTCGTAAACCTCTTTTTCCAGGACCACTACAACGTTGAATTGTTGTTTAACCAACAGTTGTAAGCTGAAGATTACCTTTAGTAAATATATTTCCAATCGAAGATTTCAATTCATTTCCATAGTAAAATCATAAATTAAATGTACTTAATTGATTATTAGGATGCTAATGTTTGACTTTTGTTTTAAGTACTTTCAGCTATATATAAACTGAACATAATACACATGGTTCTTCAAACTTTCTAAATTTAGTTCAGAACTTTATTTTAGAGTATTTGCGGGGGCTGGGACAATTTATTATGTGGACTGCAGATTCTTCACTCTTATAAAAATTGTCAGAATTTATGCAGATTTATTTTCCTGATGTGCTTCTCATCAAGACTCTAGAGCAGGGGTAGTCAACCTTTTTATACCTACCGCCCACTTTTGTATTTCTGTTAGTAGTAAAATTTTCTAACCGCCCACTGGTTCCACAGTAAAGGTGATTTATAAAGTAGGAAAATAACTTTACTTTATAAAATTTATAAAGCAGAGTTACAGCAATCCCTACCGCCCACCATGAAAACTGGAACGCCCACTAGTGGGCGGTAGGGACCAGGTTGACTACCACTGCTCTAGAGAATGTTTTCACCCATGATTGTACATTTTCAAATAGAGTGATGGCAAAACTAAGAAGGGAGCAATAAAGACAAGGAAAAACAGATTTCTCTAGAAAGTTGACAACATCTTCATGTCTGTTTAGTTCTGTTTTCACACAAAGAACTTTTTGCAAATCTTCAAGGGATGGTTTTGGGGTTGGGCAGTGTGGAAGTCACTCAATGGAATTTTAAAATCAGGGCCTGCTGACTTTAAAACTATAGCTGGCTCGTTTTTAACATATACAGAAGAGGTATTTTCAGTATAAAATACCTCTTTGCCATCAAACATTTTGTAAGATAAGCACTATGTTTTTTCTTTTCTCCACTGATTTTAAAAATATTTTCTGAGAAAGATTAAACTGATGCCCCCATCCCTTCCCCCTCAAAAGTCCCTTTTGTAGAGGGCAAAATTTGGCAGAGAACTCTCTGTATTTCATACTAAAAGAAGACCTTCCCAGTTACTTTTTAAAAATACTAATTTACTCTTTCCAGGTATTTTTAATCTGTTTAGAACTGTTCTAGTTGAAAGAGAGTCAGTTAAGGTTTTGAACTGGCACAGGCAAAGCCCAAGTTCTAGTTTACCTCAGAATTAGGCATTAGGTATTATTTGGACCTTACAAGGGACGTGGTGGCTCAGCGGCTAAGACGCTGAGCTTGACGATCAGAAAGGTTGGCAGTTTGGCAGTTCGAATTCCTAGTGCCGCGTAATGGAGTAAGATCCTGTTACATGTCTCAGCTTATAAGTAGAAAAATAGGAACCACCTTTGGCGGGAAGGTAACAGCATTCTGTGCACCTTCGGCGTTTAGTCATGCTGGCCACATGACCACGGAAATGTCTTTGGACAGCGCTGGCTTTTCGCTTTGAAACAGAGATGAGCACCGCCCGCTAGAGTCGGGAACGACTAGCACATATGTGCGAGGAAAACCTTTACCTTATTATTTAGACATGTAAATCTGTCAAACCAAACCAACCTCAGAAAGAGAATGTTATAGGGGAAAATGTAAGGTGGAATATTATGTATGCCACATGCAGAAAAAGAGGTTCCAAGTCAATCAATCCGTCAATCCGTTATCTAATAAATAAAGCAATTACACCACCACATGTGGATGCGTTTCTTTTTTTTGAAAAATGTCATTACATAGTGATAGGGGAAGGATTCATAATGGTTTCTAGTTACCAAAAAGGTATGTTTAATGTGGGAGGGAGTTTTAATTGTGGGGCCTGGTTGGCCTACTATGGCTTCGTTTGACAATAAATTTTTTTGGGGGGGGGGGATTTGGAGTTGTGATACCTCAAAGTACCTTGAGGTG